CCAGCTACGAAAAGGAAATTATCACGACGCCTCCGATATAATAAGAATAAGAAACTCAAGTGGGAACAAGAGCATGCCGAGGTATCTTACAAATCGGAAGACGTACCATCGTTCCCTGACCCTCTTGTCAATTCTGATATTATCTTCAATCCGCTAAGGGTATAATATTTTTTTTTATCTTCGAATTGGTTACCTTTGTACGAAATTCTAGTATAGTTCTGTTAGGTTGCATTTGTGTTGATAAGAGGGTCGCGTAGCTATTTGTCGCAAGTTTACTTCGGTGAGTTGTCTGATCGAACATGCGCACAATTTCCTTCCAATTCGGTTGGTTGCTTAGCGCTTTGGTTACGTGACTCGTTCGTTCCACAAATATGTCTTATCAGAAAAAATCTCTGCAGTAAGTTAGCTAATACAATATTTGATGATGAATAGCACCGAACTCAACATGCAACCCGTAACCTATCTCACCGTGATAAAGCTTATTATTTGAAGGAGTGGATAAGCGTTCCTCTCTCTTTCTCTGATCGTATATCCTCTAAAGAAAATAAAACTCAACGGAATATTTCAGCACGAGATCTATTGATTGAGACGTTAATTAAGGAATCAAGATCCGACCCAGATAGTAGTTCTCTCGAATCAACCGAAGTCCCTGAAGATTTTTTTTCACTTGTAGACACTGATATTATTAATGGAGTAGAAAAGAACGATAACTTACATGTTACAGATTCTAATAAACGATTGTGGGTTGCCTTTGGTCGGTGGTTAGGATTAAAACGACCTGATGGACCAATAAAAAGAAAACATGTTCGGCATCACCTTAGATTGAAGTGGAGTAAGCTCAGACATTCTCTTAACATTCGAGACAATAAAGATTTTCATACCATCTCTAATACTGCCGTTGCACGTAACACGCGGAAAGAAAAAGCCAGGTTGATCATGTCCGTTCGTAATAATTTTCGCTCTCTTGACGGATTGGTGCAAATTCACTATATATCGGAACCTGAATGTATCACAGACACAGATAGACGAACCTTAATCCATCTTGAAAATCTTAATGATCAAAATGCCGTGACGAAAGCAACCAATGCCGTTAATGAATATTATTATCATACTCTAAAACATCCTTCGCATCGGAGCGACGAGTTCTGGTCAAATTTCATCGAGCACTTTGGCGCGTACACTCTATATAACCCTCTTCCCTATACCAGCTCGAATACTGCCAGCTCTCACAACATCGATCACCAGGAATGTGTAAATAATCTACTTCTAAACCTCAAACCATTATCAGATACTGTCAACCGGTTCCTTTATGATAATTATGGGGAGATGTATATGAAGTTAAGAAATTTATCTTGGCCTTTCGCTCCTAAATCATTCGGCGTCTTCCCTATGATCGCAATTAATTTCAATACGATCAGTGACTATCACTGGGATGAGCACGACGAACCAAATTCCTTATGTTGCTTGGTTGCTTTAGGTGATTTCGAGGGAGGTGAACTGTGCTTCCCGCAACTCCAGATTATCGTTCCACTTCGTCCGGGACAAATCGTTGCGTTTTCATCGCGTTTTTTATTGCA